GGCAGTAGACTTTCAGAAGGGTCCCTTTGTAAAATTATGTTTCTGAGGTTCTAATATTGAGCTCTGGTAGCATAGTGCCTAAGGCACTTGACTGCTAACCAGGAGGCTGGCAGTGCAAACCCACCAGCCACTCTTCGGAAGGAAGGTTAGGCAATCTACTTCCATAGTGATACTGCCTCGGAAACCCAAGGAGGGGTCGCAGTGAGTCAGGTCTGACTCAATGGTACATAGCAACAACAATATTTAACATACTGTACTAGCTCTGAGGTCTCAATAGTTCTCACCCAATTATCTGAGCTACCTAAAAAGCTATCAATGATTCTCATAAACCTATGTCCATTTTGCATCATGAGTGCTCTCATTAGTGTGAGAAAAATAAAATGGACTCACCATCCTGTGAGAGAAGGAGAAAACCTTGAAATGTATCTCCCAATTGGTTTCTCAGCTCCCAGTGGAAAGAACACAGCGTTATCTGTGAACCATGAGTTCACGGAACCCTTCCTTTATTGACTGTGGCAGACCAAGCTTATTGCATTCTCCCAAGTTATCCTAGAGGCCTAGAACAGGGAAAGAGGTCATATTGGGGATATTATGCCATTTGGAGAAACTGTATATTGTAAAGACCTCTGAGTCTATCCTCCAGGAATCTGTGGATGATAACAGAGGCTAATACTTATATAATGTTATGTGTAAAGCATAGTTTACATATATATATGTATATGTATGTGTGTGTGTGTATATGAGAGAGGGAAAAGGAGAGAGAGAGCCGGTGGTACAATGGTTAAGCACAACTATTAACCAAAAGGTCAGTGGTTCCAACCTACCAGCCACTCTGTGGGAGAAAAGTCTTGGTGATCTTCTCCTATAAAAATTCAAAACAAAACAAGCTCACTGCCATCAAGTTGATTCTGACTCATAGTGACCCCTGTTGGGTTTCTGAGGTGGTAAATGTTTACAGAAGTAGATTGCCCAGTCTTCATTCCATGTAGTGGCTGGTGGGTTTGAACCACCAACCTTCTGGTTAGCAGTCAGATGGCTTAGGCACTATGCCACCAGAGCTCCTTTTGCCTATAAAAATTACAGCCTAGGAAACCCTATGGGTGGTTCTACTCTATCATATAGGGTCACTATGAGTCAGAATCAACTTGATGGTACACAACAACATACATAAACATTTAATTCTCATAATAGCCCTATAAGGTAGGTGTTATGTTATCCCCATTTTCCAGATTATGCAACTCAGGGACAGACAGAGGTTAAGAAACTTGCCCAGAGTCACATAGCTAGTTAATCGTGGAACCAGAATTTGACCAAGGTAGTCTACGTTCAGAGCATGTGGTTTTAATGCCTCTACTGTACTGTCTGGGAGCTCCGGTGGCATAGTGCCTAAGGCACTTGACTGCTCACCAGAAGGCTGGCGGTTCAAACCCACCAGCCACTCCTCGGAAGGAAGGTTGGGCAATCTACTTTCGTAGTGATACTGCCTTGGAAACCCAAGGAGGGGTCACTATGAGTTGGATCCGACTCGAAGGCAGTGAGTTTCTGTTGGTTTTGAACTGTACTGTCTAACATTGTGTATGGTTCAACAGATTCTCTGCCAGGCTAGGCTCCTTAGGAAGAAGCAAAAAACAATTTCTGAAAGATATTGCTAGCTGCAAAGATATTCCCAGGCAAGAATGGTCATTGACCCTATGTTGGAGAGTGAAGGGTGGCCTTAATGACCTCCATAGACCTCCACTAACTGAGGAATCCGTGGAGATGGGAGGGTTCCGGGGGCTCCACATGTGTGCATCTCTGTGTCTGTGTCCTGACAGCTCGTGACGTGGTGGCCAAGTTATCTGAGGACAAAATTTCTGATCTGAACGACTTCCAGTGGATCTCCCAGCTGCGCTACTACTGGGAGGCCAAGGATGTGAAGGTGCAAATGATCACTACAGAAGCCTTATATGGGTATGAGTACCTGGGCAACTCTCCCCGACTGGTGATTACTCCCCTCACTGACCGCTGCTACAGGTAAATGCTGGGGCTTACCCAGAACTGAAGGGTGACTAGAGAAGGACTCTAGAGGAAAGAGAATCTGAGGAGGGAAGTTAGGGATATCCTGTGTTAGTAATCTTTACTCTGTACATTTTAAATTCTCAAATTTTTAGAATTTT